TGAAATATAAATCATTAATTCAGTCTATTTTATGACTAAATACTATTTCATCTCGAAGATATACCTCATTTTGTTTATCCTTTCATCAGATGATAGATGTTTCTACCTTATGGACATAGTAAATAATGCTATTGTGAACATGGGTGTACAGCGGCTACATATTTTATTATACCATTTATATAAACTGCCCTGAATAAGGAAAGTCACAGACAGAAAGTATTTTACTGGTGTCAAGGGCTGGTGATAGTGGTGATAGTTTAGTGACTATTTAATGGACACAAGGTTTCCTTTGGGGATGATAAAAATAATCTGGAACTAAATGGTAGTGGTGATTATACAACACAGTGAATGTAATAAACAATATGAGTGGTAAACTTTATGTATGTTTTGTTATGCCAAGTGAGCCAGGAAATCATCAAACACTGGGACAAAGACTAAAAGGAGTTTATTCGCACACACATGGACTCCAACCTCTAGGAGAAGTGAAGCCCAGAAGCAGAGGACAGCACAGCTTTTATAGTAACTCAAACAAAGAAGTTCAGAGAGAGGTCAGCATGCCCTTCAGCCAGCTTAGAAATATTTTTCACAACCTAGTTTTTTCAACCCACCTATCTTGTCAAGATAGGACATTCTGTGGCTACAGGGTTTGGCAGTTACAGGGAGGCACCAGACACCTGTTCCTGGGGCACCAGACACCATCTGTTCCCAGGGAGCAATAAAGCATGTTTACAGAAGCAGAGGGAGCGGTCAGAAAAACAGCTCTCTTGTGGGGAATTACAGCACTCTATAAGGGGAGGGGTATGAGGGGAGTTTATTTACAGGCCAAGATGGCGTTTCTTAGGTTCACTTTGGTCTCACATGTTTTACCACAATAAAAAAGTAAGTGAAAATATCCAAATAGATATGAAGAAATCATCTACCTCATTCTTATTCTTACTCCTTTTATTTCCCCTCTTACTCCTTGAGATAATCAATATTTTCATAGGTGCATACGGTTTGCTATTGTTTACTTAAAAAAAACCAATACATTACTCATGAATGTTTTTTATTTGACAGTATTTGGTGGACGCCTTTTAAAGTCAATATAGTAAAATCAAAGTAATGCTTTTGGTGATGGTGCCTTTTAAAATGGTGTTCAGTAAATTTTCCAATTCCTTTATGGATAGACAAACTCTTAGCTAAAATAAACAACTCTCATATAGATAGTCTCATAGAGTGGTATTTTTATTTCTATAAACTATCTTTCAAAAGAAAGATTTAGGAATTCAGGAAGATGGCAGACCAGAGGTGCTTGTGATATTTCTCTCCACAAGTAAAGGATCACAATAAAGGGGGAAAAAATATTCATTCCACTGCAGGTTTGTGGCACAGTGCCAGAATAAAATGGGGATGTAGCAGAGATGTTGTGGATCAGGGAGATATACAGTGCTCTTATAAAGAAGGGAATTAGAAATACAGCATCTACCACCCTGTGTCTCCAGAGATCAACCCTGAACCAAGGAGGATTTCATTTGGTGAAGAATTGGGTAGGCAGGGGGCCCCACCAGTTTCCACCAACTCAATGCCATGACATTTGAAATATTTGGGGCTGGACAAGGCTGCAGCCTTTATAGGCCCTGAGCCAACTGTGGGGAGTGCAGATTACACAGCACTGTACTGCTCCAAACAAAGATCTTATCCACCATCCCCCCCCCCCACCCATCCTGCTGGGTAGCATCATATTGAGACTTTACCCACCCAGGGGCCTGAGAAGCACTTAACTAAGTGGTTTCTCTTAGCAGCTCAGCTATCCCAGCTCTACAAACCTTCCAAGTGTTCCAATCTCATACCTTTAGCCCAGGAAGCAGCTAAGAAGTCTACCGTAAGGGCTCAGGAAGCACTGATGGCCCTTCCAAACCCTCCCTGGCCCTAGGAAATAACTGGGCAGCATATCCCAAGAAGGTCAGCTCCCTGAATGCTCATGAAGGCTCTCATTCATTCCTGAAGTTACTAATAGATACTCTACCTATGCTCTCTTGTGCATCCCAGCACCCACTTGTCACTTAGATACTGGGAGGTGCTCCATTCCTACTATTGAGCACATTGCACTGAACACCCTGGGCTTCCCAGTGGTTTTTCTGCTGCGCAGACCTTCAAAACTGGTAAGTGTCCCACCTTTGCTATTGTGCCATTTGTGACTTATTTGCCCTAGTCCATGAGAACAGCTCTGCTCCCATGCAACCCCAAACTGATTAATGTTCTGTACTCACAGCCAGAGGCACTGTGCTCAGAGCCACTGGCAAAACCACCAAATCTGAGACCTATATCCTAGCTGGTCGAACAATTTCACCGACATGCTGCAGGTTAGGTCACTGGTGCACCTTCAGGCATTATTAGTGTGGATCATAGTTAAAGAATCTACATGGACACTATAATACTGGAACCAAAAAGCCAACATAACCGACTCTAGTGACATTCTAGGAAATATCTATATGAGAAAGTCTTTTACTATAAAAGCTACCTTATAAATTTAATAGAGGCAACTGATCCATGACATGTGAAAATATCAACATAGGGACATGAGAAGCATTAAAAAGCAAAGTAATAAGAGGCCTCCAAAGGAACACAACAACTCTAGTAACAGTTTTCAAATAAAAAAGAAATGGATGAATTTCTTGAAAAATATTCAAAACAATGATTTTAAATTTGGGGAAAACTCAAGGAAATGGAAAATAATAGAGAGACAATTCATGACATTTAACATTCAGCAAGAAAGAGAATCTAATTCATGATCTCAATAAAAATTCAACAGAGAGGGATCATAAAAAGAACTAAACAAAACTTGGAAGTAAAGAACTTAAAAATAAAATAAAAACGCAGCTGAGAGTTTCAGTAGCAGAGTAGAGACAGCAGAATAAAGAATTTCTAAGTTTAAAAACAAGTGTTTTGAAAAATCCAAATGAAAAATATTTTAAAGGCATGAAGAAGCTCATGAGACCTAAAAGACACCACTAAAGTGAACAGATTTTACATTAAGAGAAGGGAAAATCCATAGGGAACCTATTCAGTAAAATAATAGCTGAAAATTTTCCAATGTTGAGAAATATATGTACATCTAGGAAGCTCAAAAAATCTTCAAAAAATTGGATAGTGAAAGGTTTCTCCTGACATGTATTATAGTCAAGCTTTATTTTTCCTTGACACTTCTGATTAGTTTTAACTTGAAGTTTACTTTGTGTGAGTATAAGATTGCTGTCCTTGTTTGCTTTCATGTTCCTGTTGCATGGAATATTGTATTTCAACCTTTGAGTTTTGTTGTATGAATTTCTTTTCGAATTAGATTAGTTTCTTGAATGCAACAGATTGTTGGATACTGTTTTTTATTTAGTCGGCCAACCTGTGTCTTTTAATGGGAGAGTTAAGGCCTTTTACATGAAGAAAGGTACTGATTTATTCCTGACATTGTATTCTTTTTCTGTTCATGACTCCATTATTATTTGTTTCTTGTTTAAATACTTGCCTTGATTGATGCATCCATTTATCTGATATTTTGGACTCTGGGTTAATAATTGTTGCTTTTAGGACTTGAAACACTTCACTCTAAGCTCTCCTGGCCTTTGAAATCTATGTTGAATAGTCTTAATTCTCTGTTGTTTCCAGTACAGGGTTAGATAAACAATTGCACTTATTTAAATTAGCTCATTTTGTATTTCCTGCTGCCTTTCGAAATGATGATTCTTCCAGTTTCTATTCCCAGTCTCTCTGGTCCAGGAGAAAACAATCATTGCAAATTCCCATATGATTCTTAAGTTATCTTCCTTTTGTAAACTCACCGACACTATCTTTTTTGTTTAATAAATCCCATTGCAAGATTATTTCTTGGTCAATTCCCAAGTCTCAGCAAGAACTATTTTATTTACAGTTGCTGAAGTAGTAATGATTTATCCAGGTCATTTAAGTTTAAAATTACCTCTTCAGATCTCTTTCAGAAGCCTACTTAACATTGGATAACCTAAAGACCTGATTCTGCTGTAGACCGGGTAAGTAAAAGTGTTTAATAACTGATTTCTAACAAAATACTTTAAATGCTTGCCCTTTCCACTGCCACTGTCTAATACTTGTGCCATAGAGCTGAGTTTGAAACTATTTTACGTATTTTGACAGATACCACAGAAGAATTCAAGGAAGTTGGATCAAAGAGATTGATTTTTGAATGCTTTCTCGTAGAAGTAATATATGTTCTTTAGGAAACAAGAGTAGAATTTTAATTTGTAAAAAGTAATGTTTGTAGGAGAAGCAGACTCATATTTTAATGAAAAGGAAATTGTGACCCAAAGAAGTTTAATAAATGTCTTTTTTTGGCTGTACAACTATATTTTATATTTTAGTAACCTTGACTAATCTTCCCCATAATCATTTGCAAAACTAATTTTCTCTGTGTTTCTGCTGGGTTTCAACCAGGAAACTTTTATCTGTAATTGTGTTAACAGTTCTCTGGTAATATACAACTTTTCTGCAACCTTTCTTTGACACCTCACTGTACTGTTTCTTAACAGCCTTTACATGTGAAGTAACTATTATATGCCTTTACATCAAGGGTATCATTGCGGATGAATTCTAAATGACTGAACATATGTGTACACATGTGTGTTTAACAGTTTGTCACCATAAAACAAGTGGTTATTAAATGTTAGACCTTATCCTTAGGATTATATAGAGAATAGAAAGACAAACATCTGGGTAGATCTGTTCACAGTATTATTTTCAGTTGAGTGCCATTTAATACCAGAAAGAGTATTATTTTCAATATATATGATTTAAGGGCTCTTTTGTTACATCTCTATTATTCTGTAGATTCCTTTCAAACCAATATATAAATGAGAAGGATGAAAAAAGTAAGAATGAGTTTTCAAGAGGAAACAAAGTATGTGAAAATAGATTATTGGAACTAGAGCTTGTGTTTCAATCAAATCACACTGTCTCTTAATTTTTTTTATTCAGGCTTCTACCTATGAATGACAATGGATATGAACAATAAGTCTACTGTGTCTGAATTTGTTTTGCTGGGGCTCTCTAAATCTTGGGAACTACGGATATTTTTCTTTATGGTGTTTTCATTGTTTTATGTAGCAGCAATGGTGGGTAATAGCCTCATAATCATCACAGTTATAGCCAATTCTCATCTACACTGTCCCATGTACTTCCTGCTTTCCAACCTCTCCATCATTGATATGTCTCTTGCTTCCTTTGCTACCCCCAAAATGATTACAGACTACCTAACTGGTCACAAAACCATCTCTTTCAATGGCTGTATCACCCAGCTGTTCTTTTTACACCTTTTCACTGGTACTGAGATTATTTTGCTAATGGCTATGTCCTTTGATAGGTATATTGCAATTTGTAAGCCCCTTCGCTATGCTTCAATTATTAGTCCCCAGGTGTGTGTTGCCCTTGTGGCGGCTTCCTGGATTGTGGGAATCATGCATTCAATGAGCCAGGTCATATTCGCCCTCACATTACCATTCTGTGGTCAAAATAAGGTAGATAGCTTCTTCTGTGACCTTCCTGTGGTGTTCCAGCTGGCTTGTGTAGAAACTTATGTTCTGGGGCTCTTTATGATATCAACAAGTGGGATAATTGCTTTGTCCTGCTTTATTCTTTTATTTAACTCATATGTTATTGTCCTGGTTACTATCAAGCATCATTCTTCTGGAGGATCATCTAAGGCCTTTTCTACATGTACAGCTCATTTCATTGTTGTCTTCATGTTCTTTGGGCCATGCATCTTCATCTATATGTGGCCACAAAACAGCTTTCTGATAGAAAAAATTCTGTCTGTGTTTTATACTATCTTTACTCCTATTCTAAATCCAGTAATTTACACTTTGAGGAATCAAGAAGTAAAGACAGCCATGAGAAAACTGAAGAATAAGTTTCTAAATTCCAACAAGGCAAGTCCTTTTCATTATTTTTAATTTCCTAGATATTAAGTATCATAGTTTTTGTGACACCTGACCTTGAACACAATGCTATGCTAAGCTCTTGTTTCTGGACTTCTTATCAAATTGTAATTGCCAAGAATTTGTGGGTGTACATTTTCAGTGGATTTAAAAAATTTTGTATGCATATATTAAACAAACATTAGAAATTTCAGAAAAGCAAGTTAATAGAAATAGTTTTTTCCAGATTCAAAGACTACCTATAAAATATTGGGGATGATTATTCAGTTAGGGCATTCATATTAATAATCAACTCATTGTAAAAGAGGAAAAAAGAATAAGATCAAGTGCAGAGTAAAGGCATACTAGGAGGTAAAGATAATTACATATGGTTAGCAGCTGAGTTACTCAGTGTTGCTCCTAAAGCATGATGAGTCAGCAAGACTTCTATACTTCTTAGGAATTTCAAAGTGCTGTAGGAAATTAACTTCTGCACAGAAGGGTAATGATTTTGTAATACATCCCTAAGCCACTCCTACTTAACATTTAAAGCAATTTTTCATCTCTTTTATTAAAGAAAACCCTGAATATATTTCATTGTAAATGATGCAGAGATACAGAGAGAATGGTGTAAGAGTAAGTCTCCACCAACCACTTTGAACTAATAAGCAGAGCAATACTTCTGCCATATTGCCTCTGATAATGCAGAATGTATTCAGAAGTCAAAGAATTCCACAAACCAGAAAATATAATGAGATGATTTGTAAAAGAGAACACTTTGTTTCATACAGATAGTAGAATTAAATTAAGAAATATAGCTTAAGATAATAATTGAATTAATGGAGAACATGTACTTTAATTTTAACATTGCCTTAAATTTTTGATTAAAGAATCTTTTCCTTTTAATATTTGATTAAAAATAAGTTTGTGCTTAGTAATACAATGTCAATGTTATGATTAAATCTTTGCATACAAGTAAGTTTTGTTACTTTTTTGAATATTAGCTTTCAAGTACACAAAGTATCATTACCACCTCCTGGTAGTAACTCAAATTGGAAGTATTGAAAGTCATGAAGATACTGTAGTTCTTCTGGTTACTTTGCTTTGTAAAGTATCTGTAAAATTATGACAAACACTATAAATTATCATTAACTAAATGACATTTATAAAAAAATTATTAAATATATTATTCATCTTGTACCCACAAAACGAAAGATATGTTGCAAGCACACTATTTGATAAATATCAACTTGTTACTCTTTACTGGAATGACTGAGTAAATGGGGAAAGCCAATAATTATATAAGCATTATCATTTATGAGAAATAAATTAAGAAAAAGAAATTCCTAACTTTTTAAGTCAAATTATAAAACAATTTTTTCCTTATCAGTGTGTGATTTTCTTTAATATATTAAACAATTAAGGAACCAAATTCAATTTAAAAGCATAGGATATTATGTTTAAGGTGTTTAGAAATCATCGAATAAAATTATTCACAGTATTCACACAAGGGTAAAACATATTCACAGCAGCAAAAGAACACTACAATTCCATTTGAAATGGATACAAATGGATGACTTTGTATGTGTGAACTTTCTCTTGACTGAAGTTATATGTCAAAATATGCTCAGATTCAAAGACCTAATTTATGTCATATCCTTTTAGCTGGTGTTTTAGTAATAACCTAAATTACTCTCTCATGTAACATATTCATTTGTTTGGGGAGTATTTTCAAAACATGAACTGTTTTTTTTGCAATATAAAACTGTGATATCTTTTGAAAGGGATTCAGTCAAGCATTGGTGCTTATGTGGACAATTCTAAAATTTGAGAACATTTGCCAAAAATCCTCAGAGGTATACCTGACCAGCAGACAACTCTGTAAGGCAAGTCAAAAATAAAACCAAGACTCCTGATGTCTGGAAGTCTTCCATATACAAAGGGAACTATCTACCACATCCTGCTGGATCAGCATGAGGATTCAGCATTCCAGATATTTGTGCCTATTATATGAATTTAACAACTTAAATATGAACTATGGTGGATGGTTTTACCACTGTGTCTCTAGGACAAGCAGTTGGCTATCCTTTACTCAGGGTAAACAATGTGACATGGCCACAGATGGCTGAAATTGTGCCAATTATCACCAGACTATCCAAAGGCAGAAAATGATGTTTTGGAAAACATGCTAGAAATCAGCATAAACATACCAGGCCAGAGATAGTTTTAAATGGCCTGCATTATTTCCACTAACACAATTAAGGGAATGTAGAGACATGGAGTATATATAATAATATTATCTTGACAAGGAATTTCATCTTCTCTTATGTATTTGAGGAGCAATAACACTTGGCAATACTAAATGTGTGAGTCTTTTGAAATTATAAAAAGCCAATTTTAAAAAGCCTTATATTATTAAATAGGATTATTGAATGTAGGAGGGAAATCTATTAAAATTAAGCAGAGATGAAAGATAAAATATAAATGGAAATATGTGAAGAAATCGGATGTATGTAGTGAAAGTAAGAATTGTAATTATGTTTATTTCTAAAAATATTTTAGAATTTTAAAATGCTATTTAATTTAATAATAGAGAACTTACCATTAAGCTAGTGAAATAAATTTTACCTCTCTTCCTTTGCATGGGCTTCCTCTAAAGCCCTAGAATAAGCCTAAAAATATTTTATTAATAATTTTGACTTTTTTCTTAAAGAAGTTCTTATATTGCCTTGGTTTTTTCATTAATTCTAGCTTCTGAAAACTCTGGCTTGCATAGTTTTAGTTCTTATGAATACATATATACTCAGGTATACTTTGTGAGGCAAGGTAATTTATTCTTAAATGTCTTCTCATTTTTGCTTTTGGTACTGTCCTTGGTTTAGTTTCTGGGTTGATTCTTTGAAGTTGCTTATTGTAAGTATCTTTGGTGATGTATTTAGAATGCATATGGAATGATTGCTTCTCAGAGGTGTCTTCCAGATATAGCTGGTCTTTAGGTTTTGAGTCTCTAATGACTCTGAGGCTATCTCATTTTCATTATACCAGGAAGGAAAACTGTTTAGATCAATCACATCACCTTAGCCCAAGTGATACAATCAGCAACACAAAGCATCAAGTACCTCTTAGAAAATGACAATTTGTGGTAGTTATTAATCTATCACATTTAATTGTGTGAATTAAATCAAAATCAAGGACCAACCCACCATATATTTGTAGTGAATAAACTCATCAATATAGCACATTTACCCTTTGGGATGGGGAGTTAGAAGAAGTTGGGGAGGGAGGACTAGGTAGGTAGAAGAATAGGGGAAGGTTAGCAGTGAGGCCTGAGAGCACAGGCAAGAGAAAGAAAGAGAAGAAAATAAAAATAAAGAAGAAATACAAATTAGGGCCAGAAGAGGGACACAAAGGGAGATGAAGAACAATGTAGGACAGCAAGGAGTGTGGCGGGGGGGGGGGGTGATAAAAGAGAAAAGAAAGAAAAAAGAGAATTTTTTTAAAAGATTAGAAAAGAAGAAAAAAATAAAAATAAGAGCAAAAAAAAGTAGTAATTTTGAAAGTAACTAATAAAAGATAAAAATGAAGGGCTTCCTTCAGGGTATGTCTCTGCTGTCACTATAGACATGTGGACAGTGCAGTTATAAGTCAATGAGTCTCAGTAAGCCAGTCACAGACCTGTGAGAGTCGGGCACATTTCTGGCTGCAAGTCCCAAGATGAGCTCCCTGTATTCCTGCAGGGTTGAATTCTGCAAGGTTCTATTGCAGGTTTCAGCTGCCTTTCCACTGAAGATAGTCCAGGTTCCAATTGGAGATGATGATCCCTCCAACTTATCAAGCATGGTGGTCCGGTGTGCCTTTACTGCAGAGATTCTCTTCACTTTTCCAGTGGGCTTTAGTTTCCATCAGGGAGCCCGAGAGAGGCCCTTTCTCTGTTGTTCACTTCTGCAGCTCAGGACTATGGCCTTTATCTCCCCCTGTGCCTCTGTAGTGTGGAACCAAGTAGCTGCACAGCCAAGAGGCCAGAGGCAGTGGGGTCCAGTTGGGGTGGGGGGTTGGGGGCGGGGCCTGTTGTTGCTTGCACCCAGGTGGCTAACCTGGAGGCTGGTGAGTGTGCCCCGGGCATCCTCACTTGCTCTGTCTCCTGGTCACAAGTGGGCAGATTAAGTCAGACTGAGCAGGTCACCATCAGCCCGCAACTGCTGTGCCCACACAACTAAGCTGGCAAGTGGTGGGTGTCTAAAATGATTACTTTTATTCTGAAAGAGTTTTTGGTAAATTCTTGAGTGTGGTAGACTTTGGAACATGTAAATTTTTTGATTGAAATATTATCCTATGGTAGAGTTTTAGCAGGTGTACACTGCCTTATTTTCTTTTGAGTCTAAGGTAAATGTTTTCTGAAAAGAGATACATGCACTACACTTTTTCCACTGCAAATCAAGATGTGATAAAAATGAAAATATCAAGACAAATGAGATCTAATACTACTGTCAGTTTAATGTCCAGTGTGTTTTATACAGCATCTGTTTTGTTCACTTTGGAAATTTTTCCTAAATTTGCAAAAAAAATGTGCAAAGATGTAAAGTTTTTTGAAACTTGAAATGCATTAATAATTAGAGTCAAAATAAAAAGTAAAGAAGTCACCTGATCTCTCCTTACCTTACATGAAAAGAAAAGTAACATACTGTGCAGTAACCCAAATAAGTAAGATGAAGGATGGCCTTTATCTTTCTCTGTTTCATCTCAAATTCATTAGTAAAGTACACATTCAGAAAGAAAGGGAAAACATTACACAAACCCTGGCCTTCTCCTGAATTAGATCATTACTTCTATGTCTGTATTTGAGGATGGTTATTTTTTTGCTAATTAGATAAGGTCATCTGTTCACACCACAGCAATGACCTGTTGGACTAATAGTTGATATTCATTTGTAGTACAAATATTTTACAAGGAAAGTGACTCATATATTGAACTTGATTAATGTTATAATCTAATTGATTTTCAATCTGAAAAATACCTTCTTTTAATCCAGTTAAAAA